GGATGGTTCGTAGCCACCATGTGGGTGCTGGGAATCGAACCCGGGTCCTCTGCAAGAGCAGTCAGTGCTCTTAACTGCTGAGCCATCTCTCCAGCCCCCAAACTGCTTTTTAAAGAGCTTTAAGTTTCAAGTAGTTTATGTTGTACTTTTCCAAAGATGTCACACTAACCATTCTCTGTCCTCACTCCAGTTACTATTTCATCATTCAGAGGTTGATTCCTCTGGGAATAGTGGCACACCCCTGTAATTCCAGCACCCTTAGAGGTTAAGGGGAAGAAATACAAATTTAAGATTTGTTTGAACTACATAGAGACACAACTTCATAAAAAAAATAAATAAAACAATGACCATTATAACACACACAAAAAGTTGATTCAGCATGTATTATAAGATGATTAGATTATGGAGCTGAGACTGTAGTTGGTAGAGTGCTAGCCCAGCATGCATAAAGCCCTAGATTTGATCCTCAGTGTCACATAAAACCAGGCCTGTTGGTATATGTTTATAATCCCAACTCTCTGAAGGTAGAGGCAGGAGGATCAGGAATTCAAGATCATCCTTAACTACATGGCAAGTTTGAAGTCAGTCTGTACTACATGAGACCCTGTTTCAAAGAACTAAAATGAGGGGCTGGAGAGATGGCTCAGTGGTTAAGAACACTAGCTGTTCTTGCAGAACACCCAGGTTCAAATCCCAGCACCCACATGGCAGCTAACACCTGTCTGTAACTTCAGTTCCAGGGGATCTGACAGCCTCTTTTGGCCTCTGTGGGCATTGCACGACACAGGTACACTCACCTACATGCAGGCAATACATACATACACATAAGATAAAAATAATAAATAAAATTAAGAAAAACTAAAATGAAATATGGTAAGATTATGTATTTCATTAATCCTTTTAAAAGGAGAAATTTCTGGTGAGAAGGCAATTGGATAAAACAAACCTGACACAAAGATTGTATTTTTCACCAAATTTCAATGATACAACACCCAGTCCTTGAATTTATCCTGTACATATGACTGATTTTATCTATATTTTATAGGAAAAAATAGTAATACTTCTGAGGTTCTTAAAATCCTTTGAAATTTATTAATATAATTGTATTCAGTCTTTTGTTTTGTTTTTGAGATAGGTCCCTCTGTGTAGCCCTGGCTGGCCTGGAACTCACAGAGATCCCCCTGCCTCTGCTTCTGCCTCCTGAGTGCTAGGATTAAAAGTGTGTACCGCCATGCCACCTAGATTCAGTCTTGTTTGGGAAAACTAGTAAATATGTATAAAACTTAAAAATAAATGAAATACAAAATTGGTGAAATCAGAACAAAAGATGAGAAAAGAGAAAATGTCATTACAAGATGAAATTTATCCCTTAAAGATCATTACTCTCTTAGACAGGAACACTAAGCATTGCCATAATCCCTCTTCTTCTAATAAGAGTCCAGAATTGGTGAGGGTTAAAATGTCCTGATACTGAGAGCTGAGGCCAAAGAGAAATTACTCCAGAACATTTTATACACACACACACACACACACACACACACACACACACACAGGCACTAGGATGTATGCAGGAACAGTGACTCTTACTGACTTTCTAAGGGTCAGGTTTAATGATAAGCTCTTTAAGTCATAATTTTATTTTTGCAAATAAAAATGACTTATCTTGTAAGTCATAATTTTTACAATACTATTGTTGATGATTATGTTAGTCAATGTCTCATCAAATACTTGAGAAGATCAACTTATAGAGAGAAAAATGTTGATTTCGGCTCACAGTTCAGAGGTTTCAGTCCATGGTTTGTTGGTCTCTTGCTTTCAACCTGTGGTAACATATCGTGGTGAAAGTGTATGACCATAAAACTATTTACCTCATGGCTGGGAAAAAAAGAGAGGAAGAGGAAGGGCTTGGCATCCTACTATCCCCTTCAAGGTCATGTCCTCAATGATCTAAGCCTTCCCACTAAATTCCACCTCTAAAAGATTCCATTGCCTCTCAACAGTACTGAGCTAGAGATCAAACCCTTAACACAGTTAATGTCTCCTTTGGGAGACATTAAAATCCAAAATGTAGCACTGGGGAATATTTACTCCTACTTCCTGTGGGATCTGTAAAAGAAAAGCACTGTCTTTTCTATCAAAGAGTTAAATAGGACAAAACTTCATTTTAAAAAATGTAAATAAACTGCTTTGGGGAGGTAGAAAGAATACTAATGCATCTCTCAACTCTCAGGAGCAAAGCTTCCTCATACAACAAAGGGTGATTAACATAGAAGGCCACAACTGGCTACAAGTGTAGAGAATAAGAGACTGCAGAGTCTGTATCCCAGGATAGGATCCTATATTAAACCTCACCCAGCCAGGACTTAGAATATTGCAGGCATTATACTCATAAAATAAAAATAATAAATAAAATATTTTGAAAAAGAAAAGTGTCTTGATTTATGATTTTTCTTTGTTCTGTTACTATAAAAGCTTCATGAAGCCGGGCGTGGTGGTGCATGCCTTTAGTCCCAGCACTTGGGAGGCAGAGGCAGGCTGATCTCTGTGAGTTCAAGGCCAGCCTGGTCTACATAGTGAGTTCCAGGCCAGCTGAGGCTACAGGGAGACCCTGTCTCAAAAAGA